AATCTTTTTATACCATTTTAACCCAAAAATATTTTTGATGTGTGGAAATGGAAAAAGATGATTAAAAAAGTTTTTGGGATAAAATGGCATAAAAAGATTTGTTGGGGCTAATTTTTATTGTCAAAAGTCAATAAAAGAGGGAGATAAGAGATGAGGGGGTACGGGATTTCACTATGCCGCTTGAAAGAAAAATAGAAAGAGGGTCTACTAAGAAATAATATGAAGAGTTGAGGTTCTATACGAAATTTTCCTTTTTTTAAATCGTTAGTGGTTTTTTAATGCATTAGGTGATAATGGAAGCCTAGACTTTAGTCGAGGCACAAGTGGTGCTACCACCACGATCTCAACCCCATTCTCTCCTCAAATAGATCATCTCGACATCAAGATGCATGGACATGAGAAAAAAATGGATTTCAAGTTTTAGAAATAGTGCATCATGTAATACATTTTTGGACTGTCAATTCCCAAGATTTTCATGTTTTCATAATTTTATTCGATCTATGCTATTTTTGAAGCTTTAAATTTTACAATTAAAGATGAAAATATATTTTAAGGCTATCACAAATATTTCCAATATTGAAACCACATTTCTGAGTAATTTAGAGAAGAAGAGAAAACAAGGTGTATTTTTTTTTTTTTGAGTAATTTAGCGGGGAAGAGAAGACAAGGTTTTCTGTTTTTTTTTTAGTATTTCAGTGGAGAAAAAAAGATAGACGCCCTATCCGGTTTTTCAATAGATTCATTTTTTCAATAAATTGGGGGAGTTACACCTTTTCAAAATATTGGTTTTTTCAATAGATTGGGGAAGCTACATTTTTTCAAAATATTCATTTTTTCAATAGATTAGATTGCGAGAGTTACATTTTCTTCAAAATATACGTTTTTTCAATAGATTGGGAGAGTTACATTTTAAAAGTGTTAATTACCGATGTTAACAGTAGAAATGGATACCGTGATGTAAAATCTGGGTGTGGGGATGCTACCACCATTACATTTCTACAAATTACTTCGTAAGTGTGCATATTACATTTCTACAAATTACTTCGTAAGTGTGCATATTACATGTCAACAATTACTTCGTAAGTGTGCATATTTAAAGGAGAGAAGAAGCATCTACCCATCCGTTTGGCTTGGAACGCGTGCAAAACTCAATGTCGCTCCAACAACTCTCATCATAATAATCGGATTGTTGCTCCCCAATACAAACAGCCGCACTTGATGAAGTGAAGACCACGCGCTTAACGGTTTTGGCCTTGAGGCATGCACGCATAATGCTCAATACTCCATTAACAGCCGGTTTTATCACCTCGTTCTTCATAAAACCCCAACAAAACGTCAATAAATCAATAATAAATAAAATAAGGATATTACGTATGTAGCCGATAGATATTACAGAGAATATAATAATGAAATCATTAGCCTTGCAGATGGACTTTAAATGGAAAAAGTCAAAATATTCATAAAAATTAAGGAAAGTTATAAATAACCCTCAAGACTAGACTTTTTATGCAAGTCATCCCCAACTTAACTTTTTTTCTCATTTTTTACTCCAAAATATATTTTCTTAGCAAATACCACCCAACCCCAAAAAAAATAAAAGAAAGTTTAAATTTGACCCATGTCTCTCTCTCATCTTTCTCATGAAAAGGCGGTCTAGCGTATTCTTAGGGCTGTCCTACAGTGTAATGTCGGTTCAGTAAAACCAGTGGCGGTCCGACAGTGTAATGTCGGTTCAGTAATTACCAGTGGCAGTTCGACAGTACAGGTGGCGGTCTGGCACTGACAAAGAACGATCTGGCAATAGGCCCATGCGGTCTGATATTGACAAAGAGCGGTCCGACAGCAGACCCATTCGATGTGACAATAGGCCCAAAGTGCGGTCCGGCAATGTCAAAGAGCGGTTCGACACTTTTCCTTAGTTCAAAGGGGTCCGACAATGTCAAAGAGCTGTCCGGCAGCCCATGTAAGGTCACATGAATGTCCGGCCCAAATTAAATTTTTATGTTTGAAAAAAGGTATTTTCGTCAAAAAATTATACTTTTTTTACTTGGGGGTATTTGCTAGAAAAGTGTATTTTGGGTAAAAAATTGAGAAAAGAGGTTTGAATGGGGGCAACTTGCATAGAAAGTCTGGGTGTTATTTGTAATGTTTCCTAAAAATTATATTTGTTTAGTAAAGAAATGTATAAACATGTTCCTATAAATTTTGATGATTTTTATTGATGATTTATGAACTTTTTTACTACTTTCTCTATTTTATATTTAGCTATTTTTTGGAATTATTTGAATTATTTCCATCTATAAATAAATTAGTCAAAATTCCATCTTTTATATTTTATTTATTGTTTTTAAACTTTTAGTGCTCTTTAGGGTTTAGTTTGGTTTTTAATGAGTTTTCTTTTATTAATATTTCTTTTGTTTTTGTTTTTTTAAATTTATAGGTTTTTTAGGCATTTGACTATTTGGGTGACTCCACATGGAATTGCTTTTCGAAGATCTCATAAACCTAGTCTTTATAGAAGGATTACTCCCTATCGATGTGTCTGTGGTATCCACCTCTTCCTCCTCTTCCTTGTGAAAGTCGAGTCGGTTGTGGAGAGTCATAACTTTTGGGTGGTGTATAATTAAGTCCTCTCCCCCAATTTGGGTGATCGTCGAAGTAGTCATGGAAGTTTTGGATTGAGCAGCTTTAGCTTTACCTCTATCTGCATTCCTCCTAATGATTATTGACTTCGGCCTAGGCCAAAACCTTCCATAAGACTTTCTAGGTTAACAGCATTAGTTACCAAGTCGTTGAAGTTCTGGGATTTGGAAGCGTGCATGTATACTGCAATGTCAAATCTCATGTTTTTAATGCACATGAGCACCTCTTGGTTCTTAGGGAGCGGGGTGGGTTGCCTACCTTATGCTAATATTTTGCCATCGAGTGATATAGTCTTGCACATGTTCATGATCCCTCTGCTTCACATTGAGGAGTTCAACCAAGTGGACCACCCTTTATGTGTTGTGAAACCTTGCCAGGAATGCTTCTTATATTTGCTTCCATGTAAATATGGTCTCAAGAAGTAGTCGTGAGTACTAAGCGAAAGTTGGTCCTGATAGTGATTGTACAAATTGTCGCATCAGGAGGTTCCCGTTACTGGTTGAGTCCGCACACACAGAAATGAAGTGGGCCAAGTTTTGATGAGGGGAGCCTTGCCCATCAAACTTTGGGAATTTGGGCCGCTGATTTCTTGCGGGATATGGCATTGCATCAACATACACTGGGTATAGTTTTTGATAAGTGTCAAGGGTTTGTACCCCCAGAATATGGTTGTAGTTTCTCCATCACTAAGTTTTGCACTGTCTCCTCCATTAAGGCAGTGTTAGATAGAGATTGGAGTGGCATAGGTGTGGGGGCTGATTGGTTCTCCATGGCTGGATTCATGGACTGTTGTCCCGAAGGTCCATTGGGATTAGGAGCCTTTCTAGCGGCTCTCAACGTCTTCAGCTCGGTTGTCTATGCTCGTAACTCTGCTTCTTTCTAGGCAACATCGCCCTATGGCGTTCCATTTCTTCAATTTCACGCTGGTCTTTCGTTGCTCCCATCATCAACACGCTTATGATAGGGTCTTGTTCAAATGGTCCAGTGGATTCATTGTCCGAGATTGGCGTAGTGAATTCAGGGAATTTTAAAGAGAAAGATAACGGAAGAATAAGGGAATCCTTCCGTGCTTTAGAGATACTGCACGTGGTGTGTAGAATTTCGATGGCTATATGATGCCTTGCCTTCTTTGCAAGAGGCTCAGCATGTGGGAGCTCCTCATTTGATGAGAGGGATGAGACATCATCATAACCCAGGGCGATCTTGTCTCTTGGGTGTTTTCATTTTCCTCGAGATTTTGGGTGGTTACCACAATCATGTTACACGGCCATACCTCGAAAAATGAATCTCTTAGGTTGTGTGAGACCTTGTTATAGATTGATCCCGGTTTGCAGCCTTGTTGTGGTCATGTACGACACTGATCTGCTCGCATGACTTCTCTTGCTTTGTTCAGGACGTACTGAATAAGAACTTTGTGTACATGCTTGAGAACTATTTTATCATGCACCTTTTGGGCTTGTTTGTACTTTTTGGACTCTGTCTTGAGAACACAAGGAGGCTTGTAATTTCCTTGCCTCAAATCACATTCTACTGCGGTGATATGTGAATGAACAATACGAGATGACTTGGGTAGCTTATCTTTGTGAGAACTTATAGCCGATGGCCGATGAATATCAGGTGAATCGAGAGGATCGGCATCATGAGACCGTCTGACCGTCGGCAATCTAGGTTATATATGACGATCTAGGCAAAGTTAGCATCGCCAGAATTCCTAACCGCCAGCCGATGGGTGTTGCATGAGTCGGGCAAGTTAGGTCCATAGGAATGTCTGACCGCCTGAATCTGGGCTGCATATAACAAAGTAGGAACGTTAGCATCGCAAGGATTCCTAACCACCAGCTGATGGACGTCGCATATGTCAGGCGCGTTAGGTCCATAGGAACATCTATCGCCAGTGTCTGGGTTGCATACACAATCTAGGCAAGTTAGCATCGTGAGGATTCCTAACTCCCAGCCGATGGGTTTCGCATGAGTCAGACGAGTTAGGTCCATAGGAACAACCTATCGTCGGTATCTGGGTTGTATACGGTGATCTAAGCAAGTTGGCATTGCGAAGATTCCTAACTGTTAGTCAATGAGTGCCACGTGAGTCGAGTGAGGTAAGTCCATATGAACGTCTAACCTTCGGCGTCTAGGCTGCATTAACAGCTAAGCGAGGAACTTGTATGATCAAAGGCAAGAAGCAGGAGCCTTGGGAAATAGGCACGGGATGCCGAGATGGCTTAGATTGTGACTTAGCCTTTGTAGGAATGGCCCGACCACTTTTCTTTAGCGTATGGACGACTGGGGTTGCAGGTCGCAACGACCGTACTTTTCTTGGGATATTGTGAGCGATCGCACCGCTGTTGGGCTTTACTTGCAGATGTTGCTTGGGGTAAGTCAAAACTACCCTAAAAGATCTGCTGACTGGGACTAAACCTACTTGAGGGCGAGATTTCCTCATTGCCCAAGGCTTTGAGGTTCGTGACTTGGCTTCTTGCACTCCAGTCACTGCTTTTTCAATATGCCAAATAGCCACAGCCTTAGGAAAAGTAGGTTAACCCTTGATTAGGGAGGCATACAGTGGAACCTCCATTGTTCCCACCTAGAAAGGTGTCATTACTACAGCTATGGTTACCTCTGATGACTTGTGATTAACGCAGAGGTTTACTCGTCAGGGTAAATAGCGATGACAGGAGAGTAAAGTAAAAAATATCGTGAATCGATACCAATCGAGAGAGTTTTGACTTCCTAGACTCTATCAGAGATGAAAGGTAAATAACTCCCCAGTGGAGTCGACATATATTTGGTCGCTCCAAAATGTGGACGTGTTGAAAAGAAATACGAAATGTTTAAACAAACATTAGACTGCAGATGGAAAACCAGAGGACATCACATTCGAGGCCAAATTCACTCGTGCACTTCATATCAGAAACATAAGCTTTATTATTTATACTGGGTACTAAGCAATTCCTAAAATTTAATCCTCTATTACATTTACATTAACTTGAAGAATTAAAATACGTCGAACACTTTTGATTCTGACTTTGAAACCTATACATCCATTTCTAAAGAATAAAATACATGCATGTTAAAGGGAAAAAATAACGTTGAGGGCATATCGGCCCATATACATGTAAGTAGGGACTTGTTATTATTTGAGTCTGGTCTTCAAAAGGGAATGGGTCTCAAGCGAATCATAAGAGACAATTATCCCTCTCTCCTCACGTATCGAATAGTACTCTCTGTTCTAGTCTTGGTTCTCGCCTAAGCACAACCTCTGAAGAATTCCTTATCTCTCCTACTAAATTGTGTCTCTCAAAAGTGAGACATCTTCTTCAACCGAGGAGCATCCCTTTTTATAGCGTTGATTTATGGATAGTCATACATTTCGAATCTTCGAATCTTCACCATCCATCTTCATATGAGTTTACCTACTCATTTGAAGCATAAATCTTAGAGCGTGTGATCTTTATCTTCATATGGGGTTTACCTTCTTGTGTTTACCTTCGGTTACCTTTTGTGTTTATCTTCTCATGCTGCTGATCTTTTTGTTAGGTTATCTTCACAAATGCAATCGTTGGCGCTTCTTGAACCTTGGAACACAAGATTTTTCAGGAGCAGAATCGGATATTCATCGTTATCATCAATGTTAATGGTGGTGGGCTGTAGCCACTTTCATTGTTCCAACTTAATCCATACTAACCTTTAAGGGTGATAAGAGCAAAGAGCCTATAGTTTAACAACGCCGATTGGACGAGAGAATTCCTTATTCCCTAAGAAACAATTCTCATCTTTGCGGAAATCAATTGACTCTAAAAATTTTAAGGTTTTAACTGTCAAAAAATGATAATGTCGATGGGTTAAGCTATCGTTGGACAATTCAAGATTATTATTAAATATGAGATGGGACAAGCCATCTTTAGGTAGCTTTAGAATACTGTTGAAACTGAGATGGGTTAAGTCATCTCTGGAAAGCTTTAGACAGCTGATGAGACCAATCTTTGGGCAGCTTTAGACCGCCATTGAGACTGAGATGGGTTAAGCCATCTTTGAGCAATTTAGATTGCTGTTGAAACTAAAATTAAGCTATCTCTAGGCAATTTTAAACTGCCATTGAGACTGAGATGGGTTAAGCTATCTTTGAGCAGCTTTAGACTGCTGTTGAAACCGAGATGGATAAAGCCATCTTTGGATAGATTTAGACTATTGTTGAGACTGAGATGAGTTAAGCCATCTCTGGGTAGCTTTAGACTGTTGTTGAGACTAAGATGGGTTAAGTCATCTTTGGATAGCTTGAGAGATTGCGATGGGTTAAGCCATCTCTAAGTAGCTTTAGATGACTGTTGAGGATGGGATGGGTTAAGCCATCTCTGAACAGCTTTAGATTGATGTTGAAACTGAGATGGGTTAAGTCATCTATAGGCAGCTTTAGACTGCCGTTGAGACTGAGATAAGTTAAACCATCTCTAGGCAGCTTTATACTTCCTTTAAGACTGAGATGGTTAACCCATATCTGAGCAGCTTTAGATTGTTGTTGAGACTGAGATGGGTTAAACCCTTTGAGGAGGTTTAGAATGTCGTTGAGATAATCCTTGGCCTATTCTCGAAATCTATATACTAAGCCATGCTCAGATCATAGTCAAACACGACACACTTGAATGGCGAGAACCATACTCATCCTCCGTTGGTTCACTGTATATCTCCAAGTGGTTTTATTCTTAGTCTTTCATTGGGACTAAGTGTTCATACTTTTCGTAAGGCAAAGTATAAATCATCAACAACCAGATCAACAATCCTGGTCTTGTTTGTGATAAAAGTACACCCAACAGTGTCCTAAGATCTCAATAGAGTTAACTAAAAAATGCAACACATTGTTTTGAATTGGTTGTCAATAACCAAAGAAGATCGGGAAATTTCTAAGATGGATTTTGTTTTAAATTTGGGGACTAGTAAATATCTCTTTTCTAAGCCTAGATTCAAGTGTGTGTGGACTCCGTTATAGTTGGTTAAGTCAAATTGAATTTTATGGGAATTCCTTCGAAAATCTGAGCCCAGAAGGCATGGGAAATATTCTAGGGATTGGTATGGTAATATAGTTTTATCATATCTTGGGCCTTGTAGGATAATGAGTACTAATGAAGCAGAACTTTCTTCTATCCTGCAGGGGATATAAATTCTAAAGAAAAAGCATTTAGAATTTTGTTTATGGTGGGAGGAGATTCCCTTAATGCCATTACGTGGTGCAAAAATTAACATAGGGTACCTTGGAAGTTGAAGACTACTCGGCTAAGGATCATAGGTGTTATTACCTCGATGAATATCTCCTTCATACATATTTATAGGGAGGCAAATGATCTAGTGAATGGGTTCGCTAAAATGGTTGACTCTGCCTGAATTGCTAGTATCTTATTTTTTGCTGGTGTAATTGTTTTGTTGTAATCATCTTCTTAGCATTACTAAAACTTCAAACATTAAAAAATCACAGAGTTCTTTTACGCGATCTATATATCATGGACAATGGGTCTATGGTTTAAGGTAAATCACTGGGACAAACACCATTCATTCTTGAAGGTAGAGGGTAACTTCAGAGTTCTAGATGAAATGAATTTGTTCATACTTAAGACAAAGCATCTTAGGGAGTGTAGTGTCCCATATCACTAGACTTCATTTGAAAATGGTACATTTCTATGAAAATGACTAGGAAATGAAGCTCACCTCAGGGTCTTTAGGTTGTAAATCCATTGGTGTGGCAACATGGAAAACTCCATGACAACCTTTGATAGCTTCATCAAAGCTTCCCTCATCTCTAAGGTCAGCCTGCCATAGGGTTAGCCTCTCACTTGCCTTTGGGAAATCAAGAAGATGCTTTGTCTTCTTCATGTTCACTATAAACCAATGGCAGAAAAAATGTTAGCATTTACCAAATTGAAATGTTAATGATAGAAAAAGCAATTCTTAGTTTGAAGAATAGAGAATCAAGAAGAAAACTAATCCAATTTTAATACCTTGTATAATATCAACTATAGTCACACACACTCACACTCAGTTTTTTTTTTTGTATCAAGATGCAGTGTTGTAATGTCTATCATTCTCACCTTGCACTCTTTTATGGAAACTAACTAATGGAACCTTTGTAGCATGATGCTCAACCTTAAATGAAGAATATTTTAAATATATTTAATCAAGGAAAACATTTATACAAGGTTGCAAGCTTATACTATAGAAGTGAGGTGCACCTCAAAAATCAATAGAAAGGAGTGTTCTGAAGTTGGGAGACTTTCCAATTGATCATCTCGACCTCGAAATATATGAAAATAAATAAAAAAAGTCCTAAAAATAATGCACCATGTAACACGCTGTCAGGACCTTCTATTTTCAAGATTTTCAAATATTTATAGATTTTCATGATCTAGATAATTTTTGAAAATATAAATTCATTACGGTTGAACAAGGATTTTCAAGAAATTGAAAGGTTTACAACACCAAAACTACATCTTCTAGCAAATTCTAGACGTGTTCCTGTATAAGATGGGCACATTATACAAATGTCACCCTTTAATCAAATTGTGGAATATATATTTTTAACTGTTCTATCAACTTCAATTCAAATTAATGTTTTCAAAGATGAATTCTAATTCTATCAAATATTATTTCTTTTTATGGGCTAGTTAAAATTCAATTAGTTTCTTGTATTTATTTTTATTTTCTGAAACCGCAACTATTTTCTAATCTTTTAATATAAGTTGCTATTTGTCGAGATAAATATTTAGTTGTTTGAGAAGAGTTTCTATTTTGTGAATTGTTCTATTTTAACTTGATAGAGTTTAGAGAAAGAGAAATTCTAGGAAAACTTGAGGAATGAAACTTGTTATTTAGTTGGGACATCCTATTTGGTAGCAATTCTTCTTGAAAAAGCGATATATGGCAAAAGAGGATTTACTTAATTGTAGAGAGAGATTTTAGAAAATTACCTAGAAAAAGGAGCCATAGAGAAAATTCAAAATTAACAGCCCCTACTCTTTCTCCTTAAGCAATATATAGTTAATGGCATGCATAACTTCGAAATTAGATGATATTTTTAAACAAATATTTCTTTTTTATTTTTTCATTTATAGTTCATTTAATACTATTTTTGTAACTATTTTATTTTCTATATAAGCGTTTGCTCTTTTCCTGTAGAGCGTTTTTGGATAAACTGAATGATATTAGGGTGATTCTTATTTTTCTTTGATAAGTATCATATAAAATCCCTTTCTAGTTCTTCTCCAAAATGAATTAATTTCTAAAATCAAGAATTACGAAAACATAATAAAAATCATTCAAGAGATATTGGGTATAAATCCTTTTTGGGAACTCTATCACCAGATTTAGGTAATAAATCACATGAATTTCTAAGTAAATGAGATTTTACACTTGAGAGTTTGGAGAAATAATAGAGGAGATTATTAAGAAATCTATAAGGAAAATGAAGAGTCATGAGGTATTTTGTAGTCAAATTCTTATTTATTCTATGTTGTATACACGCTCACTAATAGCACAAGTATTGAAGGGTCTTGATTTTGGCCAGTCCAACTAGGGAAATGTTGAGTTGACCTGGATTGGGAAGCAGACCACCTTGCCAAAAAAAAACCCTAAATCGTGTCTCCCATTTTTTTATGATTAATAGAAAATTTATTAATTTTTTTGCATAGGATTCAGACTGGTTCGAGTAACTAGGGGTATTGGGCTCGGAACTTTAGGGTGTCAGAGCCTAAGTTCGACCTTAATATCCATGAAACATTAATATCATAAAGTTTTTATAAAATTTGAATTCAAATAATATATTCTGTAGATAATTTTGAGTCCTTCAATATTACTTCTTTAGTTGCTTTCTTTCCTAACTACTTTTATCTAGTTTGCAATATTTAAATTTATTTCCAAAATTCACACTATCTTTTAATTTTTCTATCATTCCCCTATAGCCTGCCATTTTATGAAAATCAAGCGGTACTAATTATGATACCAACTGCTAAAATATTTTGTAAAGATATATAAGGTTGCAACCCTAAACTGCAGAAAAAGGGCCCGACTCAAAATCCATCGTAAAAAGTCATTCTAATAGTGAAAAACTCTAATTAAATACCTTGACATGTACGAATGTGGAAAAAATATATTAAAGTATTACAAATAGTGTATCTTGTAATATATTATTTAAATCGTTCATTCTCAAGATTTTTATGTGTTTGTAGATCAGCTCAATTTGTACCATTTGTTGAGTTTTAAATTTCATAATTAGATGTGAAAATAGTTTATCGGGTCATCATTGAAATTTTCGATACCAAATTATATCTTTTGATGAGCTTTGGAGGTTCACCTTAAATGGATTGTATAAGGTTGCACCTTATACAAACCACACCCTTTTTAAAATGAGAATTCCTATTTTGCAGAAATTCATGAAATCAAAATGAAACCGAGCATCAAACTAGAAGGGGGCTACATTACATAAAAATGGATGTGTTCGAAACACTAATCCCAAAAATTGTCATATATATTTCACACATGTGCAATATATGAATATCTACATATATGCATACGTCTATAAATATATATAGGGAAAAGTTTATATAAGGTTGCAACCTTAAAATGTAGAATCACATATGCACCTCAAAAATCTATTGGAAAGGCTGTTTTAATGTTGAAAAACCCTATAATTGATCATCTCGACATCAAGATGTATGAATATTAAAAAAAAAGTTTTTGAGTCCCAAAAATAGTGCTTCTTGCAACATATTATCTAGACCGCCTATTTTCAAGATTTTCATATGTTTATAGATCTACTTGATTTTAGCCAGTTTTGGAGTTTAAAATTTTTTAATTAGATATGAAAATAGTTTTTAAGATAATCCTAAATAAATTTTACAACAAAATTGCATGTTATGA